TTTGTTTATAACCAGAACTGGGTCCTTTGTGTAACCTCCTGCTGCTGCCAATAGTAAGTGAAGAGAGGTGAGACTGCCATGATTTTGATTTCATAGAATTTCATTAATAATTTAAATGGTAGCAAAGACATTCATGTCCAGCCTCATTCTGTTCCCAGAGCAAGAACTGTCAAGCCTTGAACACTTAATCCCAGTTTGGCTCTATTCACTTCATAAGAGCTTCAGCACCGAACATGTTGCATTGGAAATTAGTCACTAAAACAGCAGAATAAAAGTATTTTTTGTATGATTTGGATTTTCTACAAACAACAAATAAAAACAAACAAACAAAAACTCAAACAAACAACAAAAAACAAGCAAACAAAAACTCAAGCCAATTTTCTTCAGTGGGAGAAAAACATATATTATGAATTTCTCCGGTATTTGGGGATAAGCAGTTCTTTCTCTGTCCCAGGTTTTAGTAATCTTACTCCCTTTGATTTACTGCCCTCTTCTGCTTGATGATGTGAGTTATCCAATGGTTAATTATACTCAATTAGCCCTCACTGGATAATAACATTTCCCATTAACTACTCAGAAAGAAGATAGCCTTATGCAGGAAGAAGGAAGCCAGGAAAAAAAAAGTCATCACATTATGGGGGAGTGATCAATGAACCTCCACGGGCCTCAGTAATTTAATTATATTACAGAGACAGAAAGAGAAAATACGATTTTCATACATATTACTGTCTCTCCACTTCTCTATATTTCCCTCTTTAATTGGTTTGCATACCACAGTCAGTGCTGAAGTAAGATAACACTCTGGCAACTGAACTTCCTGAGATGAAACACAGCAACTACAACAATTTTAACACTTTTCCTAGGGCATGCATATAATTTTTTGAAGCAGAGCTCACACATATATTTTTTTGAAGATCTCCAAGTCATGAAGTCTTGTCAAAGTCTTGTCAATCAACTCCTTCTTTGCTGTCCAGTGGTGGAGATCACTTTCTTACATCTTGATTGGAGGTCAGGTGTTGCCATAGTAACAAGCCAACCTTCCCAAATGTCCCGACTACCCAGGCCATCCTGTGATAACAATGCAAGGATGGGGGTAAAACGTAACTATAAATTTATAAAGCTTCTCTTAACATATACATTATATTTGCCTTGTAATTGTGAGAGTCAGCCATTGCATTACTCATCTATCACGCTCGGGACACCCTGTCAGCATCTGCTTGGCAGACAGAGCATGTGTGCAACAGAGGGGGGCCAAACGAGCTGAACCTCCAGGTGAGACCCCACTCCTTCCAAGAAATGAAAAAAAAAAAAATGTCAGGGCTAATTATGTCACAGTTAAATGCTTTTTTGGGCTAAGACTCCTCCCATAGCCCGATTTCCCGGGCATTTTTTCCCAGGCATCTGGGGGCCTGTCCCACCACAAGGAGGGTGTCAGTAGGTTGGTCACTTGCTTGTGGCCTGTTCATGGAAGCTTTCTCTGCTCTGAGAAGACAAAGTCCCCTCAGAGATAGGGCTTCCCACCATTTTCCAAAGCAGCTGCCTCTTTAGAGACTGTAATGTCGGCTGTCTCTTTCCCCCTCACGTGTCCCAGCTGCCTCTTGCATAAGGCTCCCCACAGCCCCTTTAGCATTTTCCACCCTGATGCCTTGAGAAGGCTGACCTAGAACCGAGACTAGACAGAGTTAAAGAATAAAGTTGGCATTTACCATGAGGCTTCAACAGATCCACCTTGGGCAGCACAAGAGCCCAGCCAGGGCTACAACCCAGGTGAACCCAAAATGGTCGTGAAAATGGACAACTGGTCACGGAGTCTCACACTTCTGTAAGTTTTGGTGCATTAGCATATTGGAGTTAATTGTCCAATTACAGCTCCAGCCCATGAAGCTCCATCCTTCTTGTTTTTCTCTCTTCATTTTGTGATAAATGGATGTGATTCATGCTAACAAAACTGTAATTATATAAATATTTTGGGAAAATAATTGGAAAAGTATATGTGATTAGTGAAGCAGATGGGTTTCTTTGTAGATGATACATGTGGGAAACAGGATACAGGAGATCAGAATGGGCCTTGATGAACAAAACTTAGGAAGACTCCCAAGTCAAAACTGGCATGTGTAAGACAACTCCCAGGACAGGATCAGCCTTGACATGAATAAAGTTGGGACAATTCCAGACAGGAAGTCTAAAATAATGGTCTTATCTATGAAATAATAAGGCTAAATGGAACATAGTGCTTACTTACGTAACACAACACAAGACTTGGGACGCATGCACAACTTGCCAGGTTATTCAGAGGACAGCGAGGAAGACAGTGAGCCTTCCTCCAAAGAGACCACCAAAGAGCCAGAAGACCCCTTAGCCACAGCAGGAGCATGCGCTACAGTGACGTAAATTTCAAGAATCAGAAATAGGAGGAGATTTATGGGAAAGTATTAATGAATATCTATTAGCATACAGTATATAAGTTGTGTCTGGATCCTTTTGTACATGAGGCAGGGTGGGAAGCCCTCCCCATACCCCAACTGATCAGTTTTTGCTTATGCTTTATCCCAACCACTGCCAAATTTATTTTTGTAACTACTGGATTATATTTGATTGTATTATTTTATCTCAGTTAAAACTGCTGCTAAATTTTAAGTTTGTGGTTTATTAAATTAGACCTATAGGACATTTATAACAATTTCACCGTTGTTTATGCTCTTGTGCCTGAGATCTGGACTGGCTGTCCTTCATCCCCAAGAGAGCTTGGTCTTCACAGAGAACTTACTATACCCTTATATGAAGCCCAGACCCACACACTAAAGCAGCACAGAATTTGAAAAATATAAAAGCTAAAACCTGAGGCATCAACCCCATGTCATAAAATGGATTTATAACATATATTGAGGCATAAATAAAGATTAAATTGGTTTCTCTCAGGAAACCACAAGCAAACCACATTGTTTCAACACACTGTTTAATTACCTGTAGAATCACAGCACATTCTTTGCTGGGTTGGAATTCTTTGGGTTTTTGTCTTTGTTTTGGGTTTTTTGTTGTTGGGTTTTTGGTTTTTTTTCCCAGAAAAACAGATTTAAAAAATAGTAGCACAACATCAAAGCCTGTTGCAGAGATATAAAAAATTTTGATTAAAGTATTTCACTCTTGGATTTCCTAAGTGCTGAGTAGAAGCTTGCAGTTTGAATAATGCTTTTTAGCAATTGTCTTATGTTTTGAAGAAGTAAATGAAAATAAAATTGAAATGCTGTACCTGTAGCAACACAGGCAAAAAGTAAACCTGAAATCATGAGATGGACTTCATCATCTCCAGGATTTTCAGCTTTGTGAACAGCTGCCAGCAGCAACAGGCTGTCACCCTTCAGAGAGGCGAACTAGAGGGACTAATGGGCACTAGAGGGAGGTGAAAATCCCTGACAGCTGTTTTCACAGATGGTTGCTGACAGCAAAGGAGCAATGTGCAGTTTGGACCAATTCTGGAATCTCAAGCTTTTCCCTGGCCTGTGAAATGTATTCTCAAGACCAATCTGATCTCCTTTAGTCTTGCATTATGTCTGTTCTCTGCTGTGGCATTGCTGACCTTAATGATCCTTCTCAACAATATCTTTCAACATTTTCCATTGCAGCCTTTGTGTAGCAACTCAAAAATTCACTTTTTGAAAGTGAAGGACAGAAAAAATTTAATGTATCTGATATTCAGACTCCATACTAGTAAGACTGAATCGACAATGGCCAGACCTCTGTGAATTGCAAAATATCACTGTTGTTACTCTACGATATTCAAGTGCTGAAGCAGGTCATACTGTGCTGCATGTCTTTCTTTTTTTAAAATTAAAAACCTAAACAAAACAAAAGCAAAAAAAGAGGAACTCTGGCATCTCTGGCATAAAGCACATATATGGGCTGTTTTGGGACTCTCGCAATTTTTTGAAATGGAAAGGACGAAAAGCTTTGGAAACCATAGTTTGTGATTTAATCATTCAGGCAGCTGTTCCAGAGGGCTAACATATTTTGCCATGTACCAGAGCAGTTCCAGAGATAAAGAGCCATTCAGAAAAGACTACCATATCAGAAACCCTACTGTTAGATGCAGTTAAAATAGCTTCTTTTACTAGGAATTAGTGAAAATGACGAAATAGAACATTTACGTGCATACATCCATCACAGCATTTTTAATCTACGAGATAAATATAGACTCATATTCAGTAAAATATCAGTCTAAGATTTTTATTCCAGTAGTTTGGTCTACAGAAATTGCTTTTAATCACAGAGGCTTTGTCCTTTAAGCAGAAGGCTGTGGTTTGTCTTCTTGAATCTTAGGTGTCTGCTTTTTCTTCTGCCTTATTCCTGTTATTCCTAAGTACGTCCAGGAGAAACAGGCTATATTTTTTGTTGGAACACTATTATAATTTGCTTTATGATGGGGGAAGGAGCATGTGTTGCTTTGTCCTGTGGGTAGGAATATCCTAATGCTGTTGTTTCTCTTTCAACATTTTCCAAACTTCTGCTTGAAGAGAAAAGAGTCAGACACATCTTATGAAACACACTTTCTATATAAATAGTACATAATATACCTTATTTGGCTCTGGTTTAAAACCATTGCCAAACTTATTGTGAAGACACTCTGCCCAGAGGGAGGAGCCAAGCATTCCCAACTAGATATAATCTGAGATCCTGGGACAGCAAGACAGCTTCTCCACTGCATTTCCCAGAGGAACAGCTGCCCCTTCCACTGGATTTGCAGAGGAAGAATACAACCTTCTACAGGATCCCTGCTCCAAGAGAACCACACCTGATACTCCAGGAGGACTGCAGCCACAATTCCAACTGAACTGCTACCAGCACCCTGACCAACAGGGTGTCAGGTTGTATTCTGACTGTCAGTGTTGTTTTGGTTTACAACACTGCTTATTTTATCTTTTTATTTTCCTCCCTAATAAAGAACTGTTATTCCTGCTCCCATATTTTTGCCTGAGGGCCCCCTTAATTTCAAATTTATAACAATTTGGAGGGAGGGGGTTTACATTTTTTCCATTTTTGGGGAGGCTCCTGCCTTCCTTAGCAGACATCTGTCTTTCCAAACCAAGACACAAACAAACTGTTATTAATAATAAATGTGTTTTTTAGGAAGCTAATACTGAGAAAACAAGGTTATTTAGCTGTTTGGTTCTTTTCTAGTCCCTAAGAATGCCTGTCCATTTGAAGACCTGTTGCACAGCCCTTCACAGGGGTTTTGCACTCTGTGTACAAATGCTCTAGAGACAGCCTTTGCCGTGGCCTAAAGGGCTTGTGATTTGCACCAACTTGAAGGTTTATACCAAGCTTTGGTGTTGTTACACTACCACTACATGCAACACGAAAGGACTAGCAAGCTGGATGAGATTTGGGAGGAGCAGAGCCCAGCACACCCAAGGCGGGAGCCAGCCACCACTTCGATACATGATGAAAACGCCAACCAGTGCTACTTTGATTGTCAGGCTATGAAGTACCTACGGCTACTACTTGTGAACAGGTTTTCTTCCCAAAATGTTTACTCCTGGATGTTAATGTGCAAGGAATGGTAGCACCTGAAATGTTTATGCAGGGGGAAAATCAGGTCATGTGCAGCCAGATATCCTATGCTTACAATCACAAATCCAAACTCAGGAGCAAACATGTTGTTATTTTCCAAATTTAAAAATGCTAACAGTTACTTTTATAATATTTTGGCTTGATTTTAAAACCTTTTGCTTACATTTTAGCATGGAATGTTACAAATGTATAACTATGCACAACAGTTTGGACCAAAAGTAAGAAATCAACGTACATATCAGACAACAAAGACATAGAAGGAGTTCATCTGGCATCATGCTGCTTCTCTTAGCACAGGTATTTATGTGAGTGGCTTGACTGGATGCTACTTTCTACAGCAGAGTTGTTAGTCACAGAAGCATTTCTCTAGGCAATGCAGTTCATCTCCTTCAGCACTGAATACTGGCCATAATGACCAATGTGTGGTAGGACAAACTGCACAGTTTCTTTTATGTCTTCAAGGAAGAGAGGTTTCACACAGGAATCAGCTGGTTAATTGCCACAAATATTTGCATTAAAGTTTTCAAAGATGTCCACACTGTTTACTGGGGAAAAAGAAAAAAAAAAATCTGATTTAGAGGAAACAACAATAAATTATGTTTAGCAACAGACACAATTCAGCAGGTTATTTTCTTTTCAAACATTCAAAGCACACTGTAAATTTGACTGCAGGTTACAGTTAATTGAATTACAGAGTATACACAGCACTAATGTATAAATCATGCTTATCTGACAGCTCAGGGAACTTGCTCTGTTGCCATCACCAAAGCCCAGTTTCAAGGAATCCCTCACATTCATCCACATTGCTCAGGCATAAGTGAATTCCTCTGCATGCTGGACTTCTACAAATAGTTAGAAGCTTATGCTTAAATTTAAGCACAAATTGTATTTGCTGAGATTACTGACACAAGTAGTTCCATAGCAGCATCAGTTTGGGCCCAATAGCCACACCCAGGAGAATGGCTGAACATATTTACTCAGGCATGCTCTGAGCATCAACTTAGGGCTTTATCTGAGGATTTAATCCATTACTACTTCCTCTATCCCTTCACAAAATAATAAGTAATTTTTTTTAAAAGTTAACTAGATAGTGATGTGATTCTCACATCAATGTTCTTTTAATTTCATTTTCTTTGCCTTGAATTCGTTAAAAAGTGTAATGTGTTTTAATGCAAAGTCAGAGTTAAGCTTCATACTGCAAAGTGCTTACAATCAAAACACCACAAAAAAAAAAAAAAAAAGAATTATTCTTTCCTGATTGGGAATGGTTCTAGACTTGTAAATTGGACAAATGACAGCCAGCAATCTTTCAGCACCAAATAGTAAAATATTTCATAAATCATTTTCTCCCTGCCAACAAGATCAAATTGAAACACAATAAGAGGCCCTTTTGTAAACTTGTGTTGCTATACTCATAACAAGTAATTTTTTTGTCAAAAAGAGTACAAGCAGTTTAAGCAGAATTAAGTGAACCTGTACACTAGTAGGAGATTAATCTATTTTTTAATCTATTTTCAATTTATTACATCAAAGATGTTTCCTACAGCTTGCCTTCCCTGCCATCCCCACCCTTTTCAGTTACAATCTCTGCCTTCATTAATTGAGTTGGCTATAGAGGGTATCTGTTGTCTAAATCAAAATCTGGAATAGCAACAATCTGTAGGGTTGTCAGATGTTTACAAGGAAAAAAAGAGATTCCTAACTCAACTGCCTTGTCTATACCACAACATTTATGTGTTCCAGAACAGAAAGAATTTCTTGGTAATTTGGTTTTCTGATGTGGTACTCTGAGGTACCCTTAGCTTTCAATTTGAGCAAAAATAAAAACCTTGAGAGGCACATGCTTGCAGCTTATCTGACAATAAAAAAATAAATAAAGCCACATGAGAAAGACGCTAGCAAATAGAAAGAATATTATATTCAGTATTTTTCATTAGCACAAATTGAAAGTGCAGAGAGACTAATAATAAAAAAAAATATTTAAAATAAAACAGTCCATGGGGCTATTGCTTTATGTTATAGAACAATAATCTAAAAGTCCAATAGACACATATAATTTAAACCAAATATCCAAAGAATGATTTTTGCTTGGAAGAAAGCTACAACTCTTAGGTCTTTATCCAGTTTGCATGGGACTGAGATAAAGCTGTAAGTAAATACACAGTGTGACAATTTATATAGGATTGGTTCCTAGCTTCTAAAAGATGCCAGCAGTGGTTCCCAAAACATAATAAATACCTCAATAAAGTTTTGTTGTTGTTGAGAGCAGAAATACAAATTCACCATAACAGTGCATGTGCATCTACCACATGCTGCAATTACCACTAACTGAGAACAAAAGAAAGGTGAAGAATAGAAAACTACATGCTGCAACTGTACTGTGTACCTTTAGGGCTCTTTACCGACTTCTTCAGCTGTCTTCTCCTCCTCAGAAACTGGAAATGGAGACAAAACACCAATGAGAAACACTGGAAATTATTTTTTCAATGACAAATAGTCAAGTAAGTTGTTTCCCTTAGTCCAAAGGATCCTTGGACTAAAGGGACAGAATTTACAAAGCTGTATTAGGTATGCTGACATTTTTCCTTTTAGCTTTTTTATTCTAATTTTAAAAGAGTTTAGAGGCCAAACTTCTAAACTCCATCCGAAAATCTATCTACACAGTAATGATTTTAACATACATTTTTCTTTGCATTCAATTACATCATTCAACTTCAATAGCAACATGAGATTACTTATAGTTGCATCAAAGCACTACAAGCTTTATTCATACCACATGCACTATATTTTTCTTGACACCAATGCAAATTAGGAAAATTCTGTCTTTCAAATCAAGACAGATGTTGAAAAAATGTGTTATATGCAGCACAAGGAGAATTTTCCTTTCTTAATGAAGTTCACATCCAGCCACTTACTGAGCAGGGCACTGAGCTCACCACACTGCCGCGATCAAATTTAGCAACCTACTTCTACTGCACCACACATAATTTGAAAATTGGATTTTCTGCTAACACTGCGATGCCAAACACAGCCATCATGGGCAGCCACACTGCATCACTTGAGTTCTGCATGCTCTTGCAGCTGGTTCAGTGCACACAGCCGCCAGCACTTCACAGACACAAACATTTCAGACCCAGCTGGACTCTTGCACCCCCTGAAGTTCACCACAACTCCTCAGCATCCTTGTCCTGGCTCTTTGAGTCTACATCAGAAATCTCTTGAGCTCCTGAAGCTACTCCTTCCTTGTTGCTAAATTTTCTTCATGGGCAGAAGAAGCTGCAACATCCAAGACTTTATTCCCAGTTTCTATGAATCAAATTAGAAAGATAATTGTCTTCTCTTTCCATTCATTATCATAAATGAGGGCAAGCTACCAAGGCTCACAAAGCACGAAGTGCCTGCCTAAAATATATGCTTGAAGTAGCTGAAGACAACAGGATCTATCAGATGATTAAATTTTATCATGCAAATAAAACTTTGCAAATGGAATTAGAAGGAAAGTCTGTCTCTTTCCAACCCTGGAGCAGAAACCTATAAACTGGAGCTACTTTCATGTATTTACGCACAGGCAAATATCCTCTAATGTATATATTTTCTCTTGCAGATACTGTTGTTTTTTTTCTTGTTTCTGTCAAATTCATAGGACATTACATCTACACTCCACATAACCTTGGACAGACATCATGGGTAGTTTTAATGTAAAAATATTCTAGCATCAGGCTGAAGATTCAGGCTGCAATTCAGACTGTAATGGCCAACTAGTGATTTTTCAACACACCTTTAAGCATAAAGCAATCTGTCTCTACAAAAAGCCTGTAACAGGTAATATTCAGTAGTAGGAAGTCTCTATACAGATACACTGCAGGGAGACTCAACACATCATCCAGCAGTTGCATGTTAAATTTTACTTGAGTAGTTTCTCTCATACCCTGTTCTTCTAACCTTCCTGTCAGAGGTCTCCATCATCACACTCTTTAACTGCTCAGCAGGAGGTTTGTCTCTTTCTTGTTCCATCCTATACCAAGCTACATGTCTATTAAACACAGTAAGTAAACAGCTTCTCTAGGAGTTCAATAAATGCAGCAAATAAGAGTTTTATAGAGCTAGCATCCCATACCTTTCCCCAAATATCGCCTTACAGCTAGTTAAATACAGCATATTTTGAACATCAATTATTTCACTTTACTTTGCAGAATGCTTTATGGATTTTGAAGAAGCAGCAAATGCTCAGGAATTGGTACTTTTGCCTTTATAGGGAAAAGCTATGCAATATAAACAGTACATTTGAAATTTGGAACTTTAGATATTTTGTAGCAAGCAAAACTTGATGTAATGCCATATATTCGCTATGTTAACAAGCTGCTAGGTTTCAGTTTGTAATGTCAAACATTCAGCTTATATTACCAAAAGTTCTTTCTCTAGCTGATACTATTTAATCTTTTTTTTTTTCTTGTGAGTGTTTTAATTTCTTTTGCACTAAGAAGAGTAGATCAGTAGGCAACTAGAGGGAGCACCATGGTTTTTTTCTGCTTTTTAACAAAACCTCATTTCCTTTGGATGGGAATTGTGTTTATTTGTTTTCTACATTAATACCTGCCTTAAAACCAAACATTAACCTCTTGTACTGAAAAAATTGTCCCTGGTCTGAATTATTCCTTATGGCTATCAGAAAGGCAATCGAATGCAAAAAAATATTGATTCCTCCCAAGGTGTTCATCCATACACATCCATACATTGTCTCTGTGGAGTAGCTGTCACTGCCTTAAATACAAAGGGTGTTGTGGCAGGCATTGTATTTTGAAAGCCCGTGTTTGTAGAATGGGTGTAGTATATTTATATACAAAATTGCCCTTGATTAGGGCACAAATCTTGCATTTAAGTGGCTTTCCCATCTGTTCCTTGAGCACATGTGGCTGGAGCCCCCTTCCAGGTGCCAGAGGTCTTTTGGAGAAGAGGCAGGTGGCAGCAGCTGGTGGTCCCCATGCACGTGCTCGTGGCAGCTGGCACTGGGTCACTCTCCCTCAGGCCTGACCTCTAGCAAAGTCTCAGAGTGGCTGAGGAAGGTCATCTTGGCACTGGCTCTTTGTCGTCCTGCATACTGTCCAAGTGTCTTCCAGTGTTTTGGATTAGGAAACAGTCTCCAGCCCCCTGATGAACCCCCAAGGGCTCATTTGACACCAGCACAAATCCCTGGTGTGAATGACGCCCTGGCAAACTGAGAATGAATTCCCTGCCTGGCTCAGATTTGAGACTGTCAGTGGGGTCCCTCTGCATGAGGAACATCAGACATACTGCCCGAGTCCTCACATCCTCCCTGCTGATCAGCTGGTGGCACAAAGCCTTACAAAGTTTAGGCATTTTTCCTTTGTTTCCCCGTCCGTGCTATTCGCGTTTCATATTTTTTCAATCCAGTTTAATCTCTTGCAATTGCTCCATGTAAAATCCTGCAGTAACACCCTATTTCATATAAGATATTTTAGTCTCTGCCTGGTACAATGGTGATTCATTGTCCATAATCCTTGGATGAAGGATTTTCTGTCTGTTCAATTGTTGTTAATAAGCCTGTCATGAACTCTGCAGCAAATAAAGGATGTAACTGAAATCCACTCCTAACTTTTGTTAGTTCAAATACTAAAATATTAAGCTTCTTTTTTTTTTCAAAATATTTGTAGAGGAGTTACAGCATCTTTACTTGGTTCTGTGCTGTTTCCTGAATGATGATTAGCTTGAAAATCTGAAATCCCTGCATTTCTTCATGCAATGATGATTATGATTCATTTTGTCTATTTATGCCAGATCCCTTACAATTTCCACAGGCTGTAAGTGAATAAAATAATCTGAATTGTCCAACTGCTTCTCTGCAATGAGGACACATGGTATTTAATATTATGCTTTCCACTGAATGCCCAGCTGCTTTATTATCCTTATAGAACAATACCACTCCAGCTCCTTGACATCTTTAGCAAAACACCCAATTGCAGCATTCCTGCCAAATGGATCTCGGTCAAGGGATAATTCCATCCTGATCCATACAATTTAAAGCCTGCCAAAAATTATTTCGTTTCCCTTCATATTCACAAAAGTGGGGCTCATTGGACTCTTTCTTAATTCTCTGCACACACACATCCTTCATCAAAAGCATTGGAGTTAAATGGCTTCACAATTTTCCTGCTTCATTTGTGTCCTGTGCTTCCCCTCCATCCTAGTAGGATCTATTATTACTCTACAGAATATACAGAATGTTACTCTACAGTATGGAGAAGGTATACTTCACAGTTTCATACAAAGTATTATATTGGTAGCAAAAAAATCTCAGCCCCTGTGTATATATATTTATTTTTTTCTGAAAAGTTGATTTTTTTTTTTTGTTCTTAAGCTTTTTCACTGGTTATCTGTCAATTTTCAGTTTCCTCCTGGGATAAGTAGCTGCATCCCGGCATTGCTGGCTACAGGGCTACAGCTTTCTTCAGTTTTGGCAGGCATTTATATAGACCTGAATTAGGACCTTAACTTTCCTGTGATTTCAAAAAAAGACAATATAAAAGAACTTAAAGCCTTAGAGAAATTAAACTAATCACAGTTAACTAACTGTAGTCAAGGGGCTTTGCATATTGCATCAACAGCTGTTGCCAAAGCACTCAGAAGGATTTGGACACAGCAGGGATTGTGAGGGCAGCATCCCCAGGGTTAGTCAGAGCCACAACACACATGCACTGCACAACCATCAGTGTCTAGCACCTGTGTAATATCCATTGCTGATGTGTAACAAGGAATCCCAACCAAAATGCTTCCTGCTCCTGCCCAGGGTAGCTACAGACACTGCCAGGCAGTCCTTAGCTCCTCTGCTTTAGGAGATAACCATTTGGAGAAGAAATGCATCCTCCCAAACTGCACTTGCAGGAACAGAACATGACTGGGCAACATTACACATGCACCTAATGCAATACCAAACCATTTCTGCTGTGGAAACACATCTGGCTTGAATTGAATAAATACAGAACAGGAAATTGATTTTACAGACAAAAGAAAATTGTGGATTTGTTCTGAAAGCTGGTATTTAGCTGTTTGCTTTTTTTTTTTTTTTTTTTTTTTTTTAATAAGGCATCAGATTTAGGAAGCTTATTAGCACAATATACAACATTTCACCTAGAAATGTAATTTTTTAGGAAACTATCCTTATCATTTCTGTGAAAGAAAACTCACCAAAAACTGCTTCCTATGTAAAGCAGTGATTCCTGTTCTCTTTAAAGACAATTTTTACAAGTGCTGAACTTGCAGCCCTGAGAGTGAGTGCAGAACTAAACACTTCTGTGCACTTACAGTAGAAGATGGAACAGTCCAAATACAGGGTGATTCTGCATGCTCATGGTGGTCAGTTTGAATTGTGTGAATATTTGTGAGCTCAGCAGAACAAAGTGACAAGATAAGCAGGTAC